CATCTAAAAAGTTCTTTTTATTTAACATGAAGAAAGACGTTAGTTTCACCATAAACAGATCTAGACTTAATTATAAACAATTGTATAGTTCATAGGTGTACAAAAAATGAAATCTAGTTTATCTTAGCATATTCTGACCTCAAAAAGGAGAACTCTTTAACCTTTGTATTAGTTTCATTATTTTTTATTAATGTTTTTCATTTCTTTGAATTTAATCTACTACATAAATGATATATGATGCATAAATTAATTATCTTCTTAAAACTTTTATTTTTTTATGTTCCAACTGATTGCCATGAAGGATTTTTTGACTGAAATGATCCATTTTGTAATATAATAACTATCCTTAGTCTGAACTCGATATAGAAAAATTGATCTGTTTATGGACTTCATAAAAATAGTTTTGAACATCATGTATTGACGTCAATGTAGAAATCCTGGTTGCATGGATTATAGTCAGCATAAATCAAAATGAATACTTTGTTAATCTAATCAAATAAATTAAGTACCTGCTATCTTTTTAACGATTGTTTATTCTAAACGAATATATCAATCATATATTATTATAATATTAATATAAGATGAAAGTATATTGTAGTTATTGAGGATGAGTGGATGAAGGAAATAGAAATGTTGAGCCTATAAAGTGAATATGTCATCCACATGCCCTATCCTACGATTTCATACTCATCTTCAAAAGAGATTATATCTTTGAATTGTATTGTGTTATTGATATCAAATTGAGTAGCATACCTTAACTACACTCTGATGAGAGTCAATGTTCACTTTATATATCTTAAGATCGATCATGAAAATGCTTCATGGCTTTCATTGAACTATAGATATCTCATCTCATAAATATCCAACAATTATTTCAACATGTATTATGTTATAATTTGTTCAAGCAGTTGATGATTTACTAATATGACAGGAGAGACCAATGAGATGCATCGTCTGCAAAGAATTTTACATATAATAAGATGTTATTTAGCTTGATTTTTCCCTTGACTGAAAGAGAAATGATTTTGGCCACTCAAATATATCGATCTTTTTTTTTCTTAAACCATTTTATGATATCTGCTTTTAGATAATATAATAAATGATAGTTTCGATTTACAAAAAGGATTCATAACAAGTTTTAGATGATCTTTTCTGCTCTATCGAGTCTGATTTCAATTTATTATCGTTATATCGAGTGAAGTAAAATAAAGATTTATCCTATATATTCTTTCTTATTCATATAAATGAATGTTGCATAATTAGTAAAGAATTCATTTTCGAACGAACGTATACTATCGATTTAGTCTACCAGTTCATACTTTTTGCTCATCGTTTGAAATACGAACAAAGTTCATTCTTGCAATGCGTACAAAATTTGAAGTAATACTTTTCCGAAGACCTATTATTGAAAAGCTACATATGTCACGTCCTGAAATTATGCTCATGCGCAATAGCATACTCAACATATTAAAGCAAAAGTAAACTAAAAATTTGCGCTACTTAATTATCTGCATGAATCCACAAGATTCTCGTTTTTGTTTCATCTTTATCAAAATAATAAATATTTACAGCTTACCACGCATTTATATTTGTCTCATATGGAAAATAGTGTCCTATTTAAACAGTAGCTTGATAATTCTACGTGTTCACAATAGTCAAAGATTATAGCAGATTAAAGTTTCCTTACAAATAAAAGGAAGACGATTGTTAAGCAATGCAAGGTATCGTCTCTTAAAATTGAGTTTATCATTTCTCCAATAATCAACGCAGCTATCAAAAGTCATTTGTTATTCGATTGAGATAGTTAGACTATATTCTAGCTGCGTACGACTAACTCTAAACTCAGTATGATGCATCCTTTATAGGCGAATGCAATGTCATGTTTCTACGAAAAATGTCTCTCTTGTTTTTAATTCTTCTAATCCTTGATATATATATATAAGGTGGAAATGTTCTCTTTTTTCTATTGAATATCTTATATAAGTATTAAAAGAATATTATTTTCTTGCTTCTTTTTTTCTCTTCAGATAATGTTATTCTCTTGTATATAAAATATTAGAATAGTCATGTAAAAGTCTTTATCTTTTTACATGTAAAAAAAAAAAGGTGAACCACTTTTAATAATATACTATCTGAGACTGAGAGGTTTTTCTCAAAATTCTATAAAAATGATACTATTGTGCTGACGTTAATTTGTAAGCAAGATGTTTTAGTCCAAGCATATAATGATCGTAATAGTCAAAATTTGCAATTTTTCACTATGGGCCATATAATTGGAATCATCATAAAGACCTATCTTGATCATGTATGTGCCACAAAATTCACTGAGAACCTTTATTTTCCTTCAAGAAGCCAACGTTCGATCCCCTTCAAGGCAACATCGGAAACTAAAGTTTGTCAACAGGTGAATTTCAATAGTGTAAAACCGTTTCGAAGTTTTTAAAAAACTAGGAGAATTCAAAATAAGAAATGAATAAAATATAGAAACGATGTTTTAAGGCAATCTTGAAGAGAATTGGAGGCTGACTTCTTGAAAGAAAATAAAGGTTCTCAGTGGAGTTTGTGTCACATACAGATCAACTTAGTTCTTTAGGATGATTCCAATTATATGATCCATAGTGAAAAATTGCAAATTTTGACTATTACGATCATTATATGCTTGGACTAAAATATCTTGCTTACAAATTAACCTCAACACAATAGTATCATTTTTATAGAATTTTAAGAAAAGCCTCTCAGTCTCAGATAATATATTATTAAAAGTGCTTCACTTCTTTTACATTTAAAAAGAAAAAGAGTTTTACATGACTATTTTAATATTTTATATATAAGAGGATAACATTATCTGAAGAGAAAAAAAGAAGCAAGAAAATAATTTTCTTTTTTATACTTATATAAGATATTCATCTTGTCATTTTGTGTAAATTTCTAGTTAATATTGTTATATGATCAAGTGAATAATTATGGCAAATATTTCAATTTCATTTATTGGACGTTTTTGGATTTATTTAATATCGAATATTGCATCAATTATTTGTTCTATATTTGTACTTTACTATTTTCTCTTTAGTCGAAAACTTCGTCATAGTTTACATAATCATGTTGTTATTATTATTTTAATTATAAATTTTATAATTGAGATAACCGATATATCATGGATTCTTTATTATTATCGAAATAGTGTTGTTTTAATAAAAACATCATTATTTTGTAGAACTTGGAAATTTCTTGATAGTTCATCATATGTAACAACAGCAAAACTTGTTGCATGGGCTTCAATCGAACGATATATTCTTATTTTTCATGATAGTTGGATGTCTACAAAAAAGAAAAAAATTCTTTTACATTATATACCTATCACGACAATTATTATCTACGGAATCATTCTTTACATTATTATTTATTTATTTATTTCTTGTGATCGTTCATATTCTTCTACGATATTATATTGTGGATATTATAGCTGTGCTTATGATAGTACAACATATTCGATGTTTGAATTCATTACAGGCGGAATAACAAATGCAATAATTATTGCTATATTTAGTATGATTCTTATAATTCGTCTTATAAAACAAAAGCATCGACTAAATCAACAACTCAATTGGCGTAAACATCGTAAAATGGCTATTCAACTTCTATCAATTGTATTATTATTTTATATATTCTATTTGCCTAGTGTTATCATAGGAATCTTATTTAATTGTGGTGTTCCATATAGCAATCTGGAATATTTATTAGCCTATGGACAATTTTTCTCTTATTATATAAATTTTCTACTTCCCTTTGTTTGTGCTGGAACATTACCTCATCTGAAAAAGAAAATCAAAAATACACTAAGAATATGCCCATTGTATAAACGTGGTACTGTTGAACCAATTCAAAATATTATTCAACGTCGAGCAATTGACCAAAATGGGAATAGTAAAAGGAACTGTTGACTGATGAAGATATCATCTTCAATTAGTGAAGAAATTTGAGAGAAAAATTCTTATTAATGTTGTGTAAATATTTTTCTTTTATAAAATACTAAAATGTACTTACATTGTTCTATATCTTGATTTATTATTTTTATATTTCATTGTCTGTTTTTCAAGTCACGTGTACCTACTTTGAATATTTGCTTATATGTCAAATGCATTAATTGATACTTGTATAGATATGAGAAATGAAAGTCAAAAGTTTAAAATTCGTTAGCACAATAGGAAGCGTGAACAAATCTTGTTTCTATTCTAGATAGTCGACATTGAAGTTGTAATTCAATGATTGAATTGATGTCTCGGTAGCGAAAAAATGAACAAAACTATAGTAGCTACGTAGACCAAAACAGAGATGGACAAAGACACACCGCGCCTCCCCGCGCCGTTGCTCACGCCTACGCTACAATAATCTGAGCTTCGATGAGCGCATGCTTAGAGCATCCCGGTATTCGGTGGAGTTTGAGAAACTGATTGGTAGAGCAAAGAGAAAGAGAGATGTGCGTAGCGCCTAGGCGCGAACAGTGGCGCGGGGAGGCGCGGTGCGATTTTGTCCATCTCTGGACCAAAAGCACCATAAGAACAAATTCTGATAAGTTGAAATTGTTTCATCTGTTGATAATGATAACTATATTCATTTTTTGTCTTTAAAAAAGAAAACAAAAGAGAAGGAAAGGGTAATGTGCAGTGAAATTCATATTCGATGATGTAACATGATTAATTTCAATAAAAGAAGACATAATCACATATCAGTGCCTATCGAAAACTCTTTCATATATTCATTTGATTAACCTTAAATTCTAAAAAGAATATAGAAAAATATTTTCTGCTACCGATCATTTGAACAATTGTCAAAAAGTTAAAATTTTGGTATAATTTCTTTGATATGAAATAGTTTCATAGATTATACGAAAAGAAAATTCAACATCAGAATAGAATTTTAGTTTTACAATATAAATAAATAATTGAAACATGAATGAAATACTTTTTCATAAAACAAGTTTATTTATTTAAAAGAAAAGTTTATTTTTCAAAATTGTTTCTATCTTTAATTCCTTGATAAAATCCAGTATGATATCCAGCTAAATACCATGACATTAATGTAGAAGATAGAGCATCATTATCATCATTGGGATTTAATATGGGAAAAGGAGGAGGAGGAGGTAATATATCATGTTCATCTATTGATAATAAAGCTTCTTGTTGTTGTTGTTGTTGTTGTTGTTGTTCTTCTTCTTCAGTTCGTATTTGTAAATCAGTTAATGGATGAATTTCTTCATTTCCATAATCATCAAATGAAATCGAACATGTTAATGATGATAATGATATATCAATTATAGTAGCTTTATATAAAAGACCATCTTCGCTATATGGACATAAACATAGATCACCAATTTTCCATTGAATATCCTCGGATGGTAATGAAGAATTATCTTTCATTTCAACATTATCATTTGATGGAACACTTTAAACATATAGAACAATAATTTTCAATAAGAAAAAAATAAATTTATATTAGTTACTTCGATTCAACAGATGTTGATTCTTTTAAAATTGTTTGTTGTTCAATAATTTGACTAAGTTTATCCGATGAAATTGCTTTTGCAAAAGCACGACACAAAAATAAATCATCATTAGATATATTTGATATTTTCACAACACTACTTGCACTGCTCATCTAAAAATTCATAAAAACACATTAACTAAATAAACTAACAATGACCTATGTATAAGATATTCAAATTTTTAGTCTATTTTAATATTCGATTAATAAAATTTTGTTTAAGTTTCGAATATAAATTGTGTTGAAGCACACTATAAAAAAAAAATTAACAGTTCAACTCGAAATAATAATATACTATTCGTAGAAAGATGAAATTCTTCGAAATAATTTTTATTTCAAAATAAATTTTACAAATGAAAAATAATCTCATTTTATTATTCGTACTTGTGTTACAAACGTATTTGAATTGAGTTTTCACGTAAGATAAAATTTACAAAATATAACTTATTGACCTTTTATATGTTTTTATTAGTATTCATATAAAATAAAATCGTTTAATTTTATTGATAGTTCCCAAAGATTTGCCTAGTTGAAAAATAGTATCTATATAGAAGTTCAAGTGCATATTGTAGTTTCGAACAAATAATATTTATCTTATAATCAACAAAAAAAAAGAAAATATTTAAAAGAGTTTATTATAACAATATAGGAATAAGAAATGAATAAATATTAACCAATAATCATAATAATGATACTATTTCTTTTTTCAAAATTAACAAAATAGAAAAATCTGAATTAATTAAATAAAAAATAAAAATTAAATTTGATCTTTATAAAATTGTGCTCGATCAGGATCAATTTTATTAGCTAATTGTTCTAAATAATTAATTCTTTTATCATTTTTATAATTTTTTTCTTTCCATAATTGACATAAAGCTAACATACACCATTTATTATTTGGTTCAATATCATCAAGTTCTTCTAATGGTTTAATATGTTCATCTTGATTAATTGATTCAATTCCTATTTGTTTAAATAATAACCATCGAGCATAAAACCATGCAGCTTGATCCGAACAATCTGTATAAAAAGCATTTAAAACAAGTTGCCATTCACTTGATAAAAGAGAAGTACGACGAGATGGATTATGATCAATAAGTTTATCTAAATATTTTGAACGATAATGCCATGCTGAATAATTTGATAAATTAATACCAATTGTTGAACGAAGAAATGATAATTCATTTTCATAAAATCCTTCTAATTCAGATGATGATAATGGACAAAGACGTTCAAGAAGATAATAACGATATGCCCAACAATGAAAGTTTCGTTCATCATATTCTATAAACAAAAAAAATAGTTTATAAAAATTACATTTAGAATTATTTTCAATTGAAAGTATCAATTCATTCAATAATACACACATTTAACCCTTAAGAGCCGAATGTCTCTTCCAAGGGACATTCAAATAATTGTAATTGAAGTCTTATAAAAATGTTGTAGACAAAAACCAATATTTTTCTGGATTGATATGACTTTCGAGACCATACCTAAGCTAAAATGTAGTATTCAGGTGGCTGTCAGGCATAGCAAAACACCTTTTAGGACTGCTGACTTTTTCAATAACACTTTTCTTTCCTAAATTTGTATCTATTCGGAAATGCGACATACAGTGTAGTTTATTTTACGTTACAATCTTAAGCTTATCATCAAGCTATTCAATGTCAGCGTTCTAGAATCTTTTAACCGGTTTACTGACAGATTGTGCCGTGATCAAAAAAAAAAATTCCTTCGATGAGACATTCAGTCTCATAGAAGAATGAAAACAATGTATTTCTAACATGAAACTTGGCTCATACATAACCCTAGTAGTGTTTAGGAAGTTTCAAAATTTTCAGGAACAACTATTGTTTCTTTCGCGAGATACAGAATGTTGAAGTTTTTAGCAAAATTTAGCTGGTTTTTAGATTTTGAATGTCTCAGCAAGAAAGCATTCGTTCTAAGTGAAAATTTTGGAGCATATTAAGTATTATCAAAACTATCTACAGGCAAAATTTCAGATCGAAATTCCTATTTTTTCGAATTTTTACAAGGATGGATGTTCCTGCCAAAGGAAGTTGCGTAGGTTTAGAAAAAGAAGAAGGTAATTATTTTTAACTATAGTACGAGTATACGGAGGGTTCATAATCTTTGTTTATCTAATTAGATTCTTATTTTTATAAGCGGAAGCCACTTCGGCTCTTAAGGATTAAATAGGCACTTACATAGAATTTTTGTTGTCAATTTTTATAAAATTTATTCAACATTTCGAAAAGATATAGAAAAAAAAAAGAAGTGCTCACAACTTATCAGTAAATAAGGAACGATTAATCATCTTTGTATTACTCTATATATTCTTGATAATTCTTTAATAAAACTTTTTGAAGAAAAAAAAAAAAAAGTAAAAGATTTTATTTAGAAATTCTAAAGTTTTGAAAATTTAAAAATACAACTTTTCTTACTGAATTTTATTTAAAATAATTCTAATGAAAAAGATGATTTTATTTTTTTCTTGAAATATACCCACCTAAATATTTTTTACATAATTGTAATTCATTTTCATAAAGATTCAAATTAAATTTATCTTTTAATAATTTTAAAGACCATTGTCTTTGATACCAACATGAATAAGATTTTGGATTTGATTTAAGACATATTTGTGTTATTTGTAATTCTTTTTCTAAATATTCTTTTAATTTATCATCATTTAATTTAATTATTGATTCTCTTCGAATATTCCAAAGTGTAAAACAATCAGGATGATCAATAAGAATATTTTCTGTTTGTTTTAAAAGATTAATATTATCAATTAGATAACGATTATTTAATATAGATTCATATTGTATTAAATATAATCGAAGTTTTTCTGATCGTTCACGTTCTCGTGCAGCTTTTTGTTCAGCTGATGTTCGAACTTTAACTTGTCCATGAACAGACATCTACAAATTACAACAAAATACTTACCCTTATTTGAAATAATTCTTTTTCAAATTAAAAATTAAATAATAATCAATTTTTTTATTTCGTTATTTCTTTTTCTTTGATATTTCTTTTATTATAAGAGAGAAATCGAAACAATAATAAACACACAATAATATTTTTGAACAATATATTGTTCGATTTGTGTGTATATATATATAAGATTTCGAATTTTATAAACGACGACCACGACGACCACCTTTTCGTCGAGTACTATCAGATGGAATTGGTGTTACATCCTCTTTAAATACAAAATAATATCAGTAAAAAATTAAATTAAATTATAAAAACAAACCAATTCTTCCAATTTTAAGACCTGATCGAGCAAGAGCACGAAGAGCTGATTGAGCACCAGGTCCAGGTGTTTTTGTTTTATTTCCACCAGTTGCACGAAGTCGAACATGTAAAGCAGTTATACCTTGTACTCGACAACGTTCAGCAACATCTTGTGCAGCCAACATAGCAGCATATGGTGATGCTTCATCACGATCAGCTTTTACTTTCATTCCACCTGTTACACGAGCTATTGTTTCTCTTTAAATCAAACAAATAATAATTTATACATATTAAGATATATTCAAACTTACTTTCCTGAAAGATCAGTAACATGAACAAAAGTATCATTGAAACTTGCATAAATATGAGCAACACCAAAATTAAGTTCACCTTCAGCAAGTTGTGGACCTAAACTAACTTGTTCTTGTTTAGCTGTTTGTTGACCTTTACGTGGACCCATTTGAATTTTGTTTTTCTTAATTAAGGATCTTTAGAGAAAGATAATTATCTATTAAAATAAAAAGAAAATTTTTCTTTATTTTATTAAAACATAGTTGAACAGAAAACGATGAATATGTATAAAAAAATCTACGAAACAAACAAGATGACTCTTATATTAATTTCATGATGATTTCGTTGCCCACCAATCATCGAACAATGTAATACACTATGTAGATAGTTAAATATTTTCTTTCAAAAAAAAAAAACTTTTAGAAAAATCTTTAACTTTTTTTCTTTTTTTTGTTATTATGTCAAATATAATTTCATTTTAAATAAAAAAAAAGATTCTTTTAGATTTGTTAAAGATGTCACTAGTTGTCTAAATTTGAAAGAAAACATTTAAATAATTACTTGTTTTATAAGTTCTAATAAACAAAAAAATATCATATTTAAAAAACAAAAACTTTGTCATTGAGTCAATGTGATAATTTGAATGGTAAGATAAATCTATAATTGGTTTCAATCAACCAATAGTATGTTAACAGAAATGAAACAATGGCTAAAATAAAAACACGGATGTGGTTCATTCTTAAAAACTAATTCTTCAACAAAAAAACAAAACAATGTCATCATCAAATGAGAATATCTTGACTGTTTTTGGAACTCGAACAATTTTAAATTTAATTTGTAAAGTTTTATTTCGTTGTTTACATTTTATTCTAAATGGTCTTATTCTTCGTCAAATTGATTTAAAAATAATTGGCATAGCAAATGTACGTCTTCAATTACTTTATACGACAATATTATTTTTATCTCGTGAAGCATTTCGTCGAACAGTACCAAAATTAAATGATTTACGTTCAATTCATCATTATATTAATTTAATATGGTTTATTATTCCAATTAGTTTATCAATAATATCATTTACACTTCCAGTTACATTATTTATTCAAACAGATAATGCAGAAAAATATTCATTTTATTATCAATCATGTTTATTCTATGCTCTAGCTGCATTTATTGAACTTTTATCTGAACCATTTTATTTATTAGCAACTGTAACACTTAATTATCATATTAATATTTATATTGAAATGTTTGCTTCAACTCTAGGTAATATATATAATCGTTAAGAATTTTCGGTCTTTCTTATTTTTAAGAAAACGATAGAAGAAGTGATTTAATTTTTCCATAAAAACATCGAAAGATTTTTAGTATTTGATTGTTACAATTGATATTTAAACGATCATACAAACCGATACGATTTAGAAAAGTTATGTTTAATAATAGTATTCAAATTCAACGTGTATATTTGTATCTCAAACTTCAGTTCTTGATGAAATTAAGAGTTAGATTAAAGCAGTGTAGCATAATATATTGAAAACATATGACAAAATTAATAGAAATGTGAAGAAAAAAAACATTGAAATAGTGACAGTCGATAGTAAGAACTTATTAATATCACTGTTTTCTATGATTGGTCTTCGTTAATAACTAATGAAGTTTGTTTTCTAGTAGAATTAATTTCACGCAAATTAATTACATAGGGCAGTCAAAAATTAATGGCAATGGTACTTTAGTTTCTTATAATAAGCTTTAAAAACCTTTCTTTCTATATAGTCTTCGAGAGAAAAGAATGATCTATTTTTCTATAATACTTAAACTAATCTAATGATAATCAATTTTCGGTAAGACTTTGTTTCGTTACCATATCTACTGGATGGAAGTTTGCATTGCAGTTTTCAGTCCCTTAATACATCTTATCAACAATCAAAATATACCATAAGATGCAGCGTAAAAAGCTCTACAATCTTCACGGTAAAGTTTATTGTAACTGTCTTCATAAAAAGGAAAATTGTGTGATACCAGTTTTCGCAATGCCCAAAGTTCGGTCCCTCAAACCTTTGTGTATTTTGAAAATAAAACAGTGTAACTAGAAAATAATTGGTCTTATATAAAATGTAGAGTTTTTCACGCTAGATCTTATGGTATATTTTGATTGTTGATACAATCTATTAAGAGACTGAAACTAATCTGTCTCTTCCGTTGTCATCCAGCAGACATGATAACGAAACAAAGTCTTACTGAAAATTTATTATCATTAGATTAGTTTAAGTATTATAGAAAAATAGATCATTCTTTTCTCTCGAAGACTATATAGAAAGAAAGGTTTTTAAAGCTTATTATAAGAAAGTAAAGTACCATTGCCATTAATTTTTGACTGCTCTATGTATATACGATTGTATCATAAAAGAATATCACTTGTTGGAATTGTTATTTTGATAAAGCGTATGATATTCAAGAGTAAAAACTGTAAGATATTATCTTTTAATTTAACAATGTATTATATTGTTAATATAATAGATTTTTTTTTCTCATTGAGATACAATGATTTGAAAACTTGTTATGTCTATAAAGAAACAAAAATGGATAAATATATACATATATGATAAGATTTTAAATGCACAATAAATTTATGAATTAGATATGATCGAGAAATAGTTTGTTCAATCGTAAATAAATATAGTATTATTTTTGAAAATTTTCAATGTAAATGTATGAATAAGAAAATAATTTTTCGTTTTTTTTTATAGGATTTACAATTCAAGCAATATTAGTATATAAAAATGCTGAATATGCACTTTATTATTATGGTTTTGGTTATATAATATATTCATTATTAATAACATTAAGTTATTATATATTTTTTTTAACACGTAATAAACAAGAACGTCAACGTTTATTTTTAATATCATCATTTAATGATTTAATGATAAAACCAACACATCCATATATTGATACAAAATTATCAAATGAAACAAAAACATTTTTTTGGCAAGGAATTTGGATGAAATTTTTAACTGAAGGCGAAAGATATATTATGTCTTTATTTAATCTTGTTTCATATAAAGATCAAGCTATATATGATACAATTAATAATTTAGGTTCACTTTTACCACGTTTAATTTTTTCAACATTAGAAGAAAGTGCTTATGCTTATTTTCAACAAACATTATCAAGAACCAAAATACCTAAAGATCAACATATTCAAGATGATCAAATGTTAATTCATGCAAGACAAGATGAATCATATAATGAGGAACAATCATCATCATCATCATCACTTTCAGGTAGATTTTAATTAGAATTTTTTCTTTGAAATAAATAATTTAAAAAAAAATTCATCAGCTAATCACAGACATCATATTACTTAGAGCAAACCAAAAGTTCGTAGAACGGTGTTTAAAGAACTTTGTCGGATAAGGTAACTTATTCAGAAATGAAAAACCAAATATACCATGTTGTAGAGCTTTTTGAGGTGCGTCGAATGGTATATAGTAAATCCTGTTTTCATAAGACTTTGAAGGAACTAGAGTCAATTTACTGATAGACGACTACACACCCATACCCGCACTGACAAGATGACCGGAGATGCTACATATATGAGGTTGTAGCCCGTCAAAAACTCTGCAAAATCGTATATGAGAAAAAATATTTTACAAATACTTTCGACTAATCCGAAGGACCACAATATTCAGTAACCTATCATACTTAGGTGAGGGTGTGAGTATGGGTACGTAGTCGTCTATCAGTAAATTGACTCTAGTTCCTTCAAAGTCTTATGAAAACAGGATTTATTATATATCATTCGACGCACCTCAAAAAGTTCTACAACATGGTGTATTTGCTTTTTCATTTCTGAATAGGTTACCTTATCCGACAAGGTTCTTTAAACACCGTTCTACGATCTTTTTGTTTGCTCTAAGTATTTAAATCGTATAGAACTATTATTACTAGTCGAAATAAAATATCACATTTGTTAACATGAAAATTTTCTGTAGACTTAACTATTTCGTGATATTCTTAAAATAAGTTTATAAGATGATAAATATTTGTGCTTGCTACATGAAGTGTTCAAGTTATTGTATAGATGTGATAATAGTGTTTCGATGTTTTTTATTTTGATGCAAAAAAAAAGAAGGAAAAATAAAAAAACATAAGAATTTAAATTGATTGGATTTTTTTTTGTTGAAAGAATAATTTTAAAATTAAAATTTAGAACAAAAAACAATAAAATTAAATGCATTAACATTTTATAATTATTTACTTCGTTTTGTAATAATAATATCATTATTAGTAATAACATTTGGTATTCCATATAGTCGAATATTTCTTTATTTATATGGTGGTAAAAATTTAAGTTCAAGTTCTGGTCCAATACTTCTTCGTTTATATTGTATATATATATTATTTCTTGCTATTAATGGTATAACAGAAGCTTTTTCTCAAGCAACAATGTCAATAAAACAATTAAAAAATTATCGAACATTAATGTTAATATTTGCTTTAATATATCTTGGAATATTTTATATATTAATTAAACAAATAGGTACATATGGAATAATAATATCGAATTGTTTAAATATGTTATTACGTATAATAACAAATACATATTATATTCATAAATATTTTGATGGTATTTTATGGTCAAAACCATTTAAATATTCATATTATTATATAATAACATTAATATTAACATTATCAATATGTTATTATAGTGAACAATGGTTTAATAATAGTTTAATATATATTTGTTTTGGAATATTTTTAGGTTTTTTAATATTAATATTAACATGGAAAGAAGAAAAAGAAATGATTCATTATATTTATTGTATAATTCGATTAAATCGTCAAAAGAAAATTTCATAAGAAAAATAAATAAATAAATACAGAAGTTTTTGTTTTTTTATTTCAGATGTTGTATAAAACAAGTGAAGAAAAATCTAATGAATATAATTCAACAATTGATCAAGAAAATGAAAATCAAGGTGAAATAATTGTATCACGTAGTAGTAGTCAATCAATTCAACATCCATTACCAGATAAACGTGAAGCATTACGTTTAAATAATTTACCACCAACAACATTATGTTCTTATGTTAATCATAAAGTAACATTATGTAAACCAATAACACGTTCAAAAGCAATATCATGTGCACCAATAACATTTAATCGTTCAACACAAACATTATTAGATGATGATACACCACCAATTAGTTTATTACCAATACCAGTTGGACTTGTTACACCATTACCATTAGCTTTAGGAACAACTGATTGTCCTGTACCTGTACCTATACCAATACCTGTACCATTTCCACTTTTTTTTGTTGTTAATGATCAAAAATTTCAAGATTATGAAACATATTTAGAAAAATTAAAAGATATTTTACCAACAAATGATGATGATTCACAATTATTAGCTTATGCACAAACACTTTTTCCTAATGATGATATTCTTGCTTTAGGAAAATTTAATCCCAAGGTAAGAACATTAATTATATGAGAATTTTACAAAAAATATTCTTAGGAAAATAAATTAGATTTATATTCTTAGAGATTAAAATTTAAGATATTTATAAAGAAAAATCATCAAAATACATATTCTTATTTTATTGTAAAAAATCCATACTTAAAATAGAAATCATCTTATTATATTTGATATGATTTACAACAAAAATATTCTTGTAGATTAGAAAAGATTTTTGCTCATTTTAGAATTTGTCAGTTTGGTCTTATATGCAATTATTAATATTTTCTATTGATTAGTTTCAAAACTGATCTCACGAGTAGAGCCCGTCGGGTAGGATCCGGACCCGGCCGGATCCTTTGATGCATATAAGAATATTTTTCGAAGTTTTACTGATCTTCAGTTTCCTCTGAAGAGCTAGTTGCTTTTGGTTGTTAGTGTTCAAAATAAATTGTTTGTGTTCACTAGAACACATTCCCTTGGCCTCAGATACAGACAAGATCGAGTCGGGATAGGATCCGGCTCCAAAAATTTTCTATTTACCGGGTCCGGGCCAAAAATGTTGGACCCGCCGGGCTCTACTCACGATTAATACTTGTCTAAGAAATATATACAGTATATTAATAGCAGAATTCAAAACAACTATCAGACTAAAACAAAACATTTCGTTGAAATTAGAAAGACACTTCAAGTTTGACGGATTCAAATCTCATTTCAATACGATTTATTTTTTATAAAACGATTTTCAACAAAAACTATAATATGTTGTTTATTTTTAATGTATAGAAGTTCGAATCTGACGAGTTTAGTTAGTTTTTAATCTACATTGAATAGAAATAATCAAATTACTTTTATTTTTCATTTGATTATCATTATAAATTTCTTGAGATCTGTAAATGAATAAAAATCTTTAAGATTCTATTGAGAGATTGAGTTTGAATTTAAAACAAAAAAAAAAATATTTCTAAATTTGAAAATAGAGTTCACCATTGGATGAAGTTGAAAATAGTGATGTTCATATTGTTGGACGTGGATCAAATGGAAATAATCAAATTGAACAAGAATTAACAGCTGGAGATAATGTTTTAAATAAATTAGTATTTGAATTTGAAGATTTTGATTTATCAACAATGGCATTAACAGGTAATGAACAACATCTTAATACAACAAATGGAAATTCATCAGAAAAAATTGAATATTTAATGAGACAAGAAGATGCGAAATATATTCTTAAATGGCATTTTGGTGTTAAATTATTTCGTGCATGGATTGAAAGTAAAAATAAACCAATTCGACAAAGATTATATCAACGTAAGAATTGATTTTTTGATTTAAAATTAAATTTTGTTTTTGTTTTAAAAATAAATTAGAAAATATACGTCTTCGAAATTTATCATTAAATGATAATGAAAATAATTTATCAAAACGTCTCTATCGATCAGATCCATTATTATATCGTGCTGATGAATTAAATACAGCACTTTGTCTTTTTATAAAAGAAATTCGTGATTTATATGATGGTGATTCAATTTATTATCTTTGTTTGGGTATTCAATATTATTTACGTGAAAATCGTCCATTATCATCAACAACAATAAATCGTTTAAATGAAGGACATTTTTATCGTACAGAATCAATTTTTTTTGATTCAACATTTGTTCAATTTCAATCAAAACTTCATTCAATACTTGTTCGTTTTTGTCATCATCGTGATCCATCAAGACCATTATCAATACGTGGAACAACATCTTCAAATCTTGATGATCGTCCATCACGTATTGAAGAAGAATTATTATGGGAAGCTAAACAATTAGGTGCACATACACCATGGGTTTTATTAAATACTATTTTATATTTTAATACAAAATATTTTTTTCTTAAAACTGTTAATGAACATCAAGTTTTATCATTTTCAAATGTTCGACGACATTATAAAAGAAATGTTGGACCACATGGAGAAGAATATGGAAAATCAGTTTATTTAAGGTTTGTTTTAAGGAATTTTTTTTTTTTTTAATTTATTATAAATAATTTAATTTAATTAAATCAATTATTTATATATTTTAAAATAATGATTATTAATCAAAATTAATGATAAATAAATATAGTTTCATTTCATTGTCAAACAAAGATTCGAATTCTAAATAATCTCATTATAGTTGCTTTATTAATGATAGATAGTCAATGTTTAAAAATAGATAACCTTCGAAAATACTATTAAATTATATCACGTTTCTCTTTTTTTTTTGTCTTTGATATTAGTTATCTAATAATGAATATTCATGATATGTTACTTTGTCTTCTAACAAACAATTCATCATAATATAATTATAACATTGAAATAAATAATTTTATTTATATTATTTAACAAAAATATTCTGTAATCTATTCGAATTCTTTTCATTTCTTTTTTTTCGTCTATGATCAAATTTTGAGTTAGAATTAAATAATAAAAATTTATTTTTGTTATTGTTATTATTGATAATAATATATTCTATTAAATGAGTAGATATTATCCACCATCAACAACAATTCATGGAATGGAAGAACAACAATTAATTTATGAACAAGCTGAAAATTATGATGATCCACTTCGATGTCCAGTTAAATTATTTGAATTTTATTTAACAAAATGTCCAGAAAGTGTTAAATGTCGACAAGATGTATTATATTTATTACCTGAAGCAACATGTGTACCTGAATCACCACTTTGGTTTTCATCACAACCATTATCTGCTTCAACAATGGATCATATGTTAACAAGAATAAAAACTGTACGAGATGTTAATGATATTCATTTATCTATGAGTCAAACATCATTTGATAATAATAATAATAATAATAATCAAGGACGATCATAAACTGTTTTTCTTTTCTTTTTCCTTTTCTTTGTATTATATTATTTGTTTCCCTCTTGTATCCCGTTATTAGTTTGTAAAAACAAAGTTAGACATTGAATGTCACATGTTCGAAACTTCTGTTTTTATAGATAGAAAGAAAAAAAAATATATATATTTGTTTGTTTATTGTTTAAAAAGTAACATTCATTGTCATTTTTTTTTTGGTTTTTTTTCCTCTCATTATGCTTTGTTCATCAGAAGAAAAAAAGAGATTGTATGTATTGTATCTATTCATTTTCATCTATCTTATTATATTATCGATATAACACTAGAACAATTTCAATATGCAAATTAATTAATGAGAAACAAATGAATATATAGTTAGTAGAGTTTTCTTACTTCTAATTCTACAATCAATCACTGTATAATCAATGAAATAATATTTGATATTCTAATGATCATTGTTGTCTTTCTATCATATTAATATATAAAGTTATTCATGTTTTGGTTGAATACGGATGGTTTTTCCATCAGGTAAAATACAAAACTGCATATATTTGAAAGGACATGATTCAGCTATATTTTTTAAATGTCTTGGTATTTCTTGCAGACTATACCAACAAGGTGAAAGAGATAAATAATGAAGATTTGGAAGAAATTCTGCACGAATTGAAGTTAATTGTGTTTGTGTTGGTTTTTCAATATGTAATAAACGAAGATTAACTAGTTTTGGTAAAACCAAATCATTACAAAATGTTGAAAGATGTAATGAAACAATTTGAGAAGAAAAATGTGAAAATGATTTTGCATGAAATATATCTTTTGATGGAATACTTATATAGAAACGAGCAGACTTTATAATTCCATTTATTCGACGATGATTAAGACAATGAAATGCAACATAAACATCAATTAAACGAATATAATTTTCAAATAAATTTAACAAAATTTCATCTGGTAATCGTTCAATATGACCAATTTCATTGGTATTCATTTCAATTTCATTTGTTTTAGTCATTGTACTATACCATTCAATCAATATTGATTACGCTGTTGAATTTAGATCTGTTTTCTTCTCTTCTAATAATCGAAAGTTAACTTAGTACAGACAAAAAGAAAATGTATTATATTTATTAAATCATTGCGTTTACTTTGTCAAGGACATTTGTTGCAAATGTTCTTTTTCTTTGGTTTTTTTCACCCCATAGAGGAAGAAAATAAAGCTATAACATAAAAAATGCACCGATAGACACATGGTTTTTATCAAACATGATAAAGAATACCTTTGACTTTCGACCATTCTACAAAAAACTAATTCAGGACAAAATCAACCAGTTGAATCAGATAGAAAACATTGAAATTTTTAACAGTAAGCATTCAATAAGATTCGATTGTTTGAAACAAGCAATATCATTTAAATTTCGACAGTTTGTAACTGTCGGATTGCATCGAATTCAAGTCTAACAGTGACGCATCTAAACTATTGTTTAAGGAGCAAAAAACAGAGATATGTGATCCAACGAACAGAAAGTATAAATTATTCATTTCATTTGATTTTTTACTTTCCATTATATTATTGCATCAAGACAATCGTCAGTAAATATAAATTATTTATTGAATTTTTTTCACTTTGGTTTAGATTTATTATTCAGCAAAATAATGCAATAGTAAACTAAAATCACCTAAAATAATGACAAAATCAGAAAAAAAATTCTATCGAGGCTATGAGTAGGTTGAGTTTCCGTCTAAAGTTGCAAAAAGAGGTATACTGTTTCAATATTAATGGCAAATTGTCCTAGTCCTAAGTGATGTTTAAAGTATTCTGAAGAAATTCAGTTCCTCTAGCTACCACTTGATTCTGTGATTAAAATAAAGCACAATTTAAGCTGTTGATTTTTAAACGTCGAATTCCATATCTGATAACTTCCTATAGAATTCTGTTGAAAATTATCGGATTTTTTGAAGTTTCCTTTGCGATTTGACGCAATCCAAATTCAAGATTCTTCATCTTAAGAACGAATAAGAATTCATGTGCAGATCGACGACTTGGAAAAAGAAAATAATGTACAGTAATTGACAAGTCTCGTCTCTAGACGAACTTTACTAAATGACATGATCAGATAAAAACATATTAATTATGTAGAAGCTCAGGATTCATTCTAATCATTAACCTGATATAAAATCATTCTGATTTACACCAAGTTCAGAAATTTGATTACTAAGTTTTGTGGTAGAGCCCTTCACTCGGTGGTCATTGTCAAAAGTCAATAATTGATAAGCTATGAACTTTTCCTTTTTAATCTCATCTTAATGAGTTATCAAACATTGTCTACCGATACTAGATCGAGTGATCTCGACGGCCGATCAATTTGATGAGCCGCATTATTTATTTCCTAATTATTTGCTAGTTTTGACTTGTAGTTGGCATCGTTTTCTATTTCCATTTTGTACCATATCGAATAATGATCAATTTTTTTTTCTGAACTGTCTTTCAGAGAACACACTTGTAAATGCCACATAGCTAGAGATGTGACAGTGACAATTAATCAACGGTTCAAACTGATAAATGTTTTCATTGGCAACTGATCTCATGATGAAATCAGCAAGTAGATTAAAATTTACAGTAAAGATTGATATGTTAGTTAGTTCAAAGTTCTTTAGAATGATGATGATGATGATGATGATGAATGGTATTCGAAGACTGATCTTCATCATAGGTTGTTAACATGCTTATCGACTTCATTTTTAGAGTGACTATCAGAGCACATGGCTATGGGCCCATGTTAGTTATTGATGAAATAGTTATCGTCACTGTTACATCACACTACATATATCAGCTATGCGTTCAAATTCTATCTAAAAGAGATGGCACTATCAAAATTTTAACTTGAAAAGCAACTCTAAACATTGACTATCACAGGGTGGGTCCTTGACAATGTACATGACTTTCTTTTTTCTTTATCGATTTCAAACAAGCTTAACAAATTGAAATGAAGAGTGATTTTGTGAAACAAGGCTATTAGATTTCAGTTCATGGCCATGGGATATCGTACCCATTTTTAGCGATTCTTTCCATGGCCTGATGAGAGCAATAGCTTCGACATGGGTAGACTGTATTTCATGTCATTATCCTGTGCTCATTGATCATCTCTCGTTTTGACTTCAGTCGTTATACAAACTCTCAGTTAGGTACAAACGTCTCTTGTTGGATAAGTGAAACAATGCTTTGGTGACGTTTTAGGATTGTTATCAATAGTCATTGGGATCACGTTGAATTGATCACGTCTTTTGATTACTTCCATCGTTTCAGTCAATATTTTATGGTTGTCAAGTTACAAGAGAGAGCTTTTACTACAGCCAACATGATCGAGCTCTTGAATTAATGAATGCTGAGATAAAACTGTAACATCATATCGCTGGTGCACTACACTGACACTAAAATATGTGTCGTACGAAGCTTGATAATGCTTTCGAGAATTATAACAAAGTTAAAGCTTTTTAAAGTTTCGTAAAAATTATATTTTATTGGCTAAAGCAAAATGTTCTTGTCGACATGAATTATGAGTAGTACTCTGCTCAATATTGGTTTATATCAATATTAGGGGTGCACCAAATCCAGGATTTGACTCCATTTGGATTTGTCTGGATTTGACTATGTATACCTCCTACCAAGATTGCAATTTTTCGGTAACAAAACTCGCCAAAACCGGCCAAATCTTCGTGTCCATTAGATGCAGTTTTCTTCGCTCTAACCAATGGTGGCATCAGATTTCGTCTAATCTTTCAAAAAGTTTCAAGGTTTGACAGGTTTTTATGCAAATTCTTGTTTTTTATTGACGTTTTTGATCAAATCCTGTCAAATCTTAAAACTTTTTGCAAGATTAGACGAAATCTGATGCCACCATTGGATAGAGCGAAGAAAACTGCATCTAATGGACACGAATATTTGACCGGTTTTGGCGAGTTTTGTTACCGAAAAACTGCAATCTTGGTAGGAGGTATACATAGTCAAATCCAGCCAAATCCAAATCCAAGTCAAACCCAAATCCAAATCCAGTCAAATTCAATTCTAGAATTGGATTTGAATTTGACTAGAATGGGATTTGGTGCATCCCTATTGAAGACTGATAACAATGCCCATTGAATTTCAGAACTCGAAAGCTTGATGTAACAAATTTTGTTTTATGCACCGATGAACACAAAGTTTCAAGCAAATATTCCAATTGAAATATTATTCCTTAGCAAAAGTCTTCGAAAAGATGATCGAGATAGAAGAGAAGCATACTATCAGTGTTAGATTTTGACGTTCAGATCTTGTTGAAAATGCAGATTCTCAAAAGAGTAAAAGATCTATTTCTAATATGATAGCAAGTTAATACTGTATGTGCTAAATGTAGCCAAATCTGGTGTGATAACTACACTATGATCAATCTGTTAATAGACAATTATAGACAACCTCTCTTCGCCAGATGAAGAGTGTATTTGAGCAACATAAGAAAAAAAAAGAGCCGTTCACAAAAGTGATAGAGTAGAGGACAATGATTAAAGAATTCAGTTCAACTAGAAACTCTAACAATTGTACCTAATGTCAATCAAACATGAATAAGATTTGCAAAATCTCGATTTTGTTTAATTCAGTATAAATCAAATGATTGAAAACATAACACAGAATGTTGCAAAATCTTTACGCCCCCCAGGTTCGACCTTAAGGTAAAATGATTGCACTAACTATTTTATACCAAATTGAAGCCCGTAAAAAACTACATTTATTGATACTAAATAGTAAAGGTTATGAAGACCTTTTAATGTCGAACTTCCAAGATTTTCAGAAATTTGATACC